ATCTATTTGATCATGATCTATCTATTTGCCTATCTAACTCTTGTTTATCTCTATCTCTGTATATTCTTTTTCTGTCTATTTGTGCTCTATCTCTTAATCTATCTATCTACCTATTTATCCATCTACCTATCTATCTATCTATCTGTCTATCTATCTATCTATCTCTATATCTATCTATCTGTATCTTTATCTCTATCTCTATATCTTTCTCTATCTATCTATCTGTTCATCTGTCTATCTATCTATCTAACTATCTATCTTAACCTAGCTTTCTATTTATATCTACCTATCTATCTTTTTATCTGTCTCTCCATATATCTATATGTTTATCTTTATCTATATTTTTATCTTTCTGTCTACCTATCTATCTATCTATCTATCTATCTCTATATCAACCTATCTATTTATCTAATCTCAGTAAATCTACCTATTCTCTTGTGACACACATACTCTTGAAGTTCGGAATCGGTGACTAGAACCCTTTTTGGTCAATGAACTCTGTTGTAAGAACAAACAAACAAACAAACGAACAAGATCTGTTATTGGAAAACGAATGATCTACCTGTCTATCTAACTATTTTTGTCTATCCATCTATTCATGGCGGACAAAATGCCCCTGGCCAGCCATAGGGTTTAAGGGGGTTCAAGTCAAACCTCCAGAATCCTACGGCAACTGGGAGTTGCCATAGGATTCTCCTAGGGGAGACAGTTACTATGTTGATATCAATCCACAACATCAGATACATGAAACCCTGGGAAATCCTACGGCAACTGCCAGTTGCCATAGGATTCTGGCGGTTTGACTTGAACCCCCTTAAACCCTATGGCACACCCCAATCTTGGCTGGGGTTTGAGCGCCCACAGCCCAATCCTACGGCATGGCCAGGATCCCAATCCTACGGCACGCCCAAAGGGCAGAATCCTACGGCAACTGGCAGTTGCCATATAGGATTCTGCCTTTTTCTGCCTTCAAAATCATTAAAAAAAATACCGCCCAAAACCCGGTCCTACGGTCAGCCCAAAACCCAATCCTACGGCACGCCCAAACCCCAATCCTACGGCACGCCCAAACCCCCCAATCCTACGGCACGCCCAAACCCCCCAATCCTACGGCGCGCCCAAACCCCCCAATCCTACGGCACGCCCAAATCCCAATCCTACGGTACGCCCATATCCCAATCCTACTACAACTAGTGAGACTGGCAAATCCCAATCTTACTATCTTACAGATACCAATCCAACGGCGCGCACAAGTTCTCAAGTTTTAATCCTACGATCCACCCAACCCACGACAGAAAAAGTAAAGGAAGGAAAGTTCCAAACCATTCCTGAACCAGCTTCATGGAAAAAGCGCTGAGGTCATGTTAAGCACCAGTCAGGAGGAGTGTGCGTTCAGCATTTGAAAGTTTATTTCCCATACATTACCCATGATTGTGAGCGGTCACACATGAACAAATTAGAACAATTAGCAGCAAATAGGCACCGCAGTGAAAACACATGGTCAACCCCACTGCACAGTTTCGAACTGGTCGCCTGTGTGATGATGACAGGCATCACAGAGCCTGACAAGCCAAGGCAAACATGTCAGAAGCAGTGGTTCTTGCAAGGACCTGGAAGTCAAAGTCACACAGCTAGATTTAGGAATAACATTGAAAATCAAGAAGTGCACAACACGTGTTGTTTTTCCACATCACAAGTTTCCGGATTGCGCTCGGGGCATCCAACATCTAAGCGCACATTTAGCGCCAGTATATGGAAGCATCAATTCCAACCCCTATAGGGTAGTGTGCTTTAAACTTCAAAAGTCCGGTGCCCAATGGATTGCACCAATTCCAAACTTACATTGTCTGAACTGACGTCTGGCAACTGACATCTGGCAACTGATGTCCACTCTGTACCTCTGTGCTTGAAAAGCCTCAAGGCAGCCATCCGCATGCGACCCAAACGTGCTGTTCGATTGATTGGAAGCAGCGGCTGCTTTCTTCCTGTCGGAACCTCTCCAGCATCTCTGTTTCCAACTAGATGTACTTCAAGGACTGGAACCTTGAAGCCAAGCTTCTTAAGAAAACCAATTAGGCGGGTTTTGGGCTTTGGGGGATGCCTGGCATCACAAAAAAATCAAAATGTTGACAGTGCCAACTTAAACTTACTAAAGAATCAGACGAAGAGCAAGTGCCATGCCAGTGCATTGACCAGTTCAGGTTGCTTTGCGGAGCTGGAAACGAAGCCTTCCATGAATCCTCCATCGGAGTGTGCAGTTCCAAAGGGTTTGCCTGCGAAACAACACCGTTTTACAACTGCCCACATCTTATGCCCAACATTTGCTGGTCCATCTTCTTTTAAGTGGGATGCTGAATGGAATAGCTTGTAGGCTCCCTGATTCCAATATTCCATTGTCTGGCCATGGATGTCGTGGGCAATCAGAAGGTCTCGGCACCGTCTTGCTCGTTTAATGTGGTACAGGGCATAGTTTCTGGAAAAAGCGGCCTGAGATCAAGCAAGCCGTCCAACCCTCCCACACCCCAGGTGGCGGCCATGCCAACCATGAAAAACAAAACCATCTATAGTACTTGTTCAATGCCACCCTCTGAGGCAGGAAAACACATGAAAGGAAACAAACAAACCACCCTGGATCCAGGTAAAAACAAACCAACTTAAACCAAGCATCACTCTTTGCACCCAACTGTCCAATCATCATCCAGGCTCCAAGATTGTCTCGCCCACTGGGTTTTGCCCCAGAACCCGGAACCGAGTTCCCGGTTGCAAGTGAGGCACAACATGATGGCCGAAGGACAGGTGACGATGAAGGTGACAGTGGACAGGTGGACTGGAAACCAAATGGCTGCAACAAAAGTGAAGTTCTGAAACAAATGAATTTAGAGCCTCAGGCATATATATATATATACACATGGACATATACATCCCACATACCCTCATCCCAAAAATGCCTCATCCCACATCCCACATCAAAGTTGTTGTAGAAGTATCACGCGCAGTATCCCACAAATTAAATGTCAGGCCTCCATCGCAGATGCCAAGACGGGTCAAACCTCAAACAGAGCAATGACGTGCAACAGTCTTTGTAAGATAGATATTACCTTAATATCTTAACCTTTGACTAATGCAATCTTTAGTTCATGAAGACTTGCGCCTGTTATCCCGCAACCTCTAAGCCTTACTTTGTGACTCTTTGCAACAGTAGCTCTGAGAAGCTGGCAGAGGATGTCAAAGATCTTCAAAGTGCGCCCGCCCTACTACCCGCCCCAGCCCGCAAGAAACAACATCGGAAAAGCAATCAGAGATTGATCTGACATTCTGCATCTGACATCTTTGATACCATCTGACATCTTCGACATCCACACCTGGATGGAAAACAAATCAGGAAAACAGAGCAGAACAATCTTCATATATTTTGGCACTGTAAAGTAAACAATCTGATCTAACTCTAAGAGGTGAATTTTAGAGGTACAGTCTTATATCCCACATGATGTGTGGGTTTTTTCATCTAAAAGTTCAAATAAAACATGGCAGAGTTGAACATTGCAAGTTCCTAGACTAAATGCCTTCCTTTCCAGTCTTGCAGGCACAGCTAATGTGGGCTCAAATGTAATGGACAAGTCTAAGTACTGGCTTGTGAACACTATTTGCCAAATTCAAAAAAAATATATATATGTGTGTGTGTTGCACTACATTATGGACAAGTACAGACAGCAGCTAGTTGGAGAGTCAACACACGTTGCTGATGGTGGTGAATCGGCTGAGAGTTGCTGAATAAGACAGTTGAGAAACATATTTGCCCCACTCCAACTCTGAAGTTTCATGATGCTCCAAATTGACATCTCGAAATTCCACATTAATTATACTTCGAGTGATCCCAGCCCTGAAAGTTAAGGTGATTGGCAAGGATTGACATAATGTTCTGACACTTGTTCTGGCATCAAATCTGGTTTGTGCTCTGACACATCTATCTATCATTGTGTTCTGACATCTTTGGTGGGGCAATCTGTCCTGTCTGATGTGCCTGTTTCTCAATCATGCCAGAAGATATGTACCACACACACAAAGACCCAAATGCTATGAAAGTTTTGAATACCTTGGTGGTGGCTTAAGTGGCTCTGGCGTGTAGCCGGCTCGTCGAGATCATCCAACCCTGCTGTGAGGTCCCTTTTAGCTGGGGCTGGCGCGTCCTTTGAGACCTCTGCCACTTACATCTGGCGTGTTGTCAAGCTTTGGGCAAGGAGGCAGACTTGGTTGCGCAGAGCCTTTGAAGGTCGAGCAACCAGCATCTTCCCTTTTGCTGGAGTTGAACTGGTGGCCTTGTTTCGAAGGCCACCTTACAAGATGGAAGCGCGAGATTTAACTCTCTGGCTTTACAGTGCGCAACATCATTCCAGAGTGTGGAAAAATTGAATCCTTTGCTTCGAGAGAGCTGCAGACGCTGTGTGTACTCTAGACTTGCACTGGAGACAAGACATGAGGTTACCGGTGTTGACCTGCCAGCGTACAATGAGGAGCGCATCACGAAGACTCGTGCTCTTGCTCGGACTCTTTTCCCTCATGATTTGGGGAGTTCAGTCGCCATTTGCCCGTTCATCAGGGCCACGAGGCTTTGACAGTGTGTGCACGTGTGGTCTATCCAATCCCTATAGGGATCATGCTTTGTGGGAGTGCCCTCATGCTTTGAACAGCTGGCCTCCTATTGATAATTTTGCATGTCGTTTTCTCGGCCTGCGCAGGATGTATCGAATGAGGTCGTTTTTGCAGCGGAGGGCATAGCACAAGCTTGGAAGAAGGCCGGACATGCCCGCGCGTTGATTTCTTTGCGGAATGACCTATTTGTGGTCCCCTAAGGGTGGCTACAAGACTAAAGCTTTAAAGGTGTTTGGACAAACCCACCCCAAACACCTTCTCAGAAGGTACTTGGAGCTCTAGGGATTTGTTTGGGATCCTCCACTGGTTGGTTCCTCTTCCAGCTTCGGTTGCTTCCGCCGTGGTCCGAGGCTGGAGTTCCCCTCGGACCACGCGCTGATCGCTGCAGCGCGAAGCCACGGTGGTGTGTGGGACGGCCCACGCGAGGTGTTTTCTAAAACATGGAATGGTAGGTACCTGGAGCTGACTTCAAGTAGTGAAAATAGAACAGGAATCCTGAAAAAGTCAAGTATTAGCTTGTACTCCATTTTCTTCAGGTATTTGGCGGGTCCAGGTATACGGTATACCACTATCGTAGCATCGGCTACCTATATACCATGTGCTTGGAAGCATTCATCTCGAAAGTTGCATATGGGAAGTTGTAGACAGGATTTCTCGTTACAGCGCCCGTACTATTTTAGGCTATAGCCACTAGCCTTTGATTTGCCTGTTTCGAAGTTGGATTTTGCTTCGTCACTGTTGGCCACTTTCTTCATCCCTTAGTCGGTTGTTTGCTTTTGTGCGGTGTTCATGTCCGCCCAATGTCCTTCGGAAGTGGAACTAACGGCGAGGTCTCCCAGATTGCCCCAGTCTTATTCTATATCGAGTACCATTTCCATCGGTTTGGATTCCAAGGCCACCAGCCACCAGTTGCTCGTCTCGCAAACCAAGTCTTGTCGTGTCAGCTGAGGACCTGTTGCTGCTTGCTGAGCAATCTGAGCTTTGATGCGATAAATGGAGAATCTGTTGGAATATCTGATTGCAGACTACAAATTGCAAATCCTAGTAACAAGGACGCTATTAGGTGGAGGCCATCGCTAGTAGTTTGGGGCCCATTACTACTAGTAACAAGAAGCTACTAGCAACAAGGACGCTATTAGCTGGAGGCCATCGCTATTAGGTTGGAGGCCATTACTACCAGTAACAAGAAGCTACTAGTAACGAGGACGGGATTAGGTGGAGGCCATCGCTATTAGGTTGGAGGCCATTGCTACTAGTAACAAGAAGCTACTAGTGACAAGGACGTCTCTAGGTGGAGGCCATCGCTATTAGGTTGGTACTACTAGTAACGAGAAGCTACTAGTAACAAGGACGCTATTAGGTGGAGGCCATCGCTATTAGGTTGGAGGCCAAGACTACTAGTAACAAGAAGCTACTAGTAACAAGGATGCTATTAGGTGGAGGCCATCGTTATTGGGTTGGAGGCCGTTACTATTAGTA